ATCCCTTGTAACTTTACTGCAGCTTCTACGTAAGGGAGTGCTTAAAGCCTCTGTCAGCAAGCTTGTTTTTGCTAACTTGGCTTTGGCTTTGGCAAGGGCAGGCACCTAGTATATGTATTAGCCCATCTGTACGGAAGGGGCACAGCTTTTGCTAATAGCTGCTGTCATCTCTCCCATTTTGCAAAATAGGACCAGGATATCCACCGTTGGCCAAGTTCACCTAACATGCGTTGTAGTCAGCAAAAGGTGGTTTCTCACACATTTCCTGTTTAAGATCCTGTAGGATTGTGGAAAGGAAGGCCTCTGGGGCTTCACTGCATAGCTGTAACAGAAAATGTAGTGTGCTGATTAACATCTTTTCTGACTCATAAGGGTTATTTTATCAAGGCGCAATTTCTGCTGGACCGCTTTCTTTAAAAATATTGTCAAAGTTAGAAGCAGACATCAGCACTGTTAGAGTCAACTGAGGGCTTCAAGAGCAAACTTCAGGCCAGGGAGATAGCTCTGTGGCACAGCATCTGTCTGGCAAGGGCAAAGTCCTGAGTCTGATTCCCTGTACCAAAAGAAGAGAGCAAACTCCTACTAAAAACAACGTGGATGTGTCTCAGATGCACCCTGCTGTGAGACAGAAGATACACAGGACCTGGTCACTCAGATTCCATTTACACGACATTCTGGACGGGGACAGCTTAGGGTTAGCCGGTGTGAATTCCAGGTTAGCCTGGAATTGGAGACAGAGCTGGCAAAGGCGGGCGAAGGAAGCATGCAGGCTTGTTGGGAATATCCTGCACCTTCGCTGTGCCAGGAGTTATGTGGTTGTATGCATGCAGCAGAACTCCTGGAGCTGGGCATTTCACTGTCTGTAAATTATGTCTTAGTAAATCAGGCTTAAAAAATCTGAGTTTATCATGTTGATGCAGCAAAGTATTTTTTTGTATGAGGAAGAGTGAATATTCCTATGAAATATTGATAAGTTTCATAATCATTTGCTGAGCGTTTGAGTTTACTCAGTATAGGTTTTTTTTGGCAGAACCCGGGATTGAACTCAGGTCCTTGTGCTTGCCAGGCAAGCACTTATTCTACTGAGCCATCTCCCTGGCCCCTTACTCAGTATAGCTCAAAAGTCATTTTTGTTTCATTGAGTACTACTACTACTTCTTTTTAAAAAATCTCTAAGTAATAATTCCTGAAAAGTTACTTAGGTTTTCAAGTGGACTTTCTTGCACATGCATCTTCATACTTAGTTTCCTCTATCAGCCAAGATGCTTCCAGCCACCAATAACAATTAGTCAGAGAAAATCAACGACAAGGCCACTGGCTTCCTCTCTGTGGTTATGGGAATGCTCCCCGTCCTTGCAAAGCCCCGACAGAAGTCTCTTTCTGAGGCTCTGTCAGAAAATGAGCCAGCTGAGCTGGGGCATACCTGTAATCGCAGCACTTGGCAGTCTGAGGTGGAAGATTACTAAGAATTGGAGGCCATCCTAGAATTCATAGTGACACCCTGTCTCAAAAAAGAAAAAAAGGGGCTGGTGAGATGGCTCAGTGGTCTAAAGCACCTACTTAGAACAAGCTTAGCAAAGCACAGGGACCACGGTTCAATCCCCCAGCACCACATGCCAGCCAGCCCCGCCCCCTGGTGGGCTGAGCTGGCCACACACACACACACACACACACACAAATAAATAAAATTTTAAGAAAAAAGAAGAAAAAAAAAAAAAAAAAGGAAGAACTGCTTAGGCAGACACAGGGACCAGGGTTCAATCCCCCAGCATGCCCTGCCAGCCCTGCCTTCAGGGCGAGCTGAGACAGCAACTGCAACTGGGTGTGATGGTGTGTGTTGTAATCTCAGTGCTTGGGAGGCTGAAAACAGGAGGATCACTATGAGTCCGAACTGTGTAGTGAGACCCTGTACTAAATACTTTAAAAAGGGGAAAAAGGGAGACCAGGGAGATGGCTCAGAATAAGTGCTTTGCTGGCAAGCTCAAGGGTCTGGGTTCAATCCCTGGTTCTGCCAAAAAAGGGGGGGGGTACATGCTGCTAGGACTAAGCCCAAGGGAATTCAGCAGGTAGTGAAAGAAGAACTAGCTTTACACACCTAAAAAAAATACAGCAAGAGCGTGTGCCTGATGTGCCAAGCTATGGGGAGGGAAAGAGGGAGGCTTGGAGACGACAGCTATCAGACTGATGTGTGTGGAGAGAAAGACACTTTTAAACATACAGTGAGAGGTGGGCGTGAGGAAGCGAGTGGAGGCGTGGGTATTTCTCTGAGAGAGAGGAGGATTACTGGAAGCTGGCCCTTCCGTGGGAAGTCAGACCGTGAGTGCCAAGCAAGTTTCAGAAGGATTCCTCGTGCAGCCATGTGCAAGGCTGGGGAGAGCCCCAAACAAGGTGGAACCAAAGCCTTCGATGGACCCAAGCTTGACACTGGTGTGCAGAGCAGAGGGCAGCAACGAGGACTGGAAGGCTGCGCGCTGTGGTGAACTGTCATGAGCAGGAGGGCCTGCACGCTTGCTGGGTTTCATGGGCGGGAGCCGATGGTCGGGCGGCCAGTGCAGCGCACTGGACAGAGATCGCTGCACCAGCAGGATGGGAACTTTGGGCTTTGGTGTTCAGGGAGGCATTCTCCAAGATGGATAAATGTGGTCTTAGCTTAGCGCCGTGTCAAAGTAGTAATAAATTCATGGCTACAGTTCATATAACTTCATTTATTTAATAATACAGTTCATTCAACTATTTTATTCATAGCAAATGTTTTTGTGGAAGCACAGTAAATGACATAGGGGCTAGAGCAGCTGATGAGGAAAAAATGTCCCTGTCACCATAAAACTAGTAAGGCTGTACAAATAAGGGCTCAATAAATGTGTATGGTGGAAATAAAGAGGTGCTACTTCGTTGAAAATAACAGGTGGAGAGGCGAGACGGCGCATAGGTGTGAAGCCAGCGTAACATGAGCTGAGAATTGAATCCCAGCGCTGGACACGTGGGCATCTGTCTTACTGCTAATTTTTCATCCAGTGTTCCTTTAAATGGCAAAGCATTGTATGCATACGGTTCACAATTGGACCAGATGTTTGAGGTGAAAACCTGGGAGAGGTGAAAGTAGTGCTGGGAACTGAGAAAAAGAGGGCCAGGTAGTGTTAGCTGCTGCAGAATTAAGCTGCATCTGAAGTTGAGTGGATTGCTCAGCTCGCAGATACTCCTCGATAGCCAGAGGAATCGAGTTCCTGAGACACGGAAGAAATCGGCTTGGTGAGGTGTGTATTACTTGAGAAATAATGTCCAAATTCCATGTCTAATGTATGGCTATCTGTTCTATTCTTAGGAAACAGATGAGCAAAAACTTCACAAAATAGCCAATGAACTTTTGCTTACGGAAAGAGCTTATGTCAACCGACTTGACCTCTTAGATCAGGTAATGTCTTCCGTCAGAATCACCTTATGATTTGGCCCTGTAGGTCGTTTTAACCCAGTAATTTAGACAATTTCAAAATTGCCAGACAAGCCTGTTATTTGATGAGTGAGAGCTTTCTGCTCAAGGAGACTTTTACGCTTTTCAGCTACGTTGCTAAATTTGCTTGATAAAAACATTTTTTAATTCCTAAGAGTCGAGTGTTCTCCCTGCACAAGTCATGAAATGACCTCATCTGTGTTCCCTACCGTTAGACATTAGTAGGATTATTAGCCTTGTGTTGCGGCCCTAGAGGACAGGACGTGTCACTGTACCAGTGGTGTGAGTGCTGACCTCAACATGCTGCTGATTTGTGTCTTGTTTGATGTTCAGTGCTGGGTGAGTGGCCTTAGCTGGGGCCGTCAGAAGATCTTGAGTTCACTTGGTCAACCTCACCTGAACCGTTTTAATGGCACATCTGGCCATAAACTTATCCAGTCAGTTATTTTTGCACATGTAATCTACTTTATCGTATTCTGTTGCGTTCATCCTGGTGGAAATTTGAGAAAAATTTCAGGAAATTTTTTAGTGTGTCATGAGCATCTGTTAAAAGCTTTTTTAGCCTGTTTCAGCAGTTTAAGAGTGACAGTTGGTAGACTGCATCATAATACGAATTCCTCTTGCTAAAAAAAAAAAAAAAAAAAGGTACCAAACTTGGATGTTGGTTGTAAGAACTGTCCCTCTCCTACAGTAGAGCGCTGGAATTTCAAGGGTGGGTCTGGGGACACGTTAGCCTTGGTGCCAGGAGTGAGTCCCATGCCCGGTAGGGTTAGCCTTGAGCAGTGGGGGGCTTGTGTTCTTTGAAATAGGGAGGTTGTGGCCCAAATATTCACTTTTCAAGGAAAGTCACTATTTAAAAAAAAAGCAATTCCTGTGGAGTTTGGGTCTTTGAAATTTTTTTTTTTTCCATGTGGGAATTATAGACCTGTAACTTTGTGGTATTATCAAAGGAAAATGTTTTCTCCTCGTAGTAATAAGTCCTCTCCCTCTCCCCCACCCCCTGCCAAATTAACTGGGCTGCTGACCTCTTAGACTTTCGGAATCTTAATTACCATAGTATCCTATTTTCTGGACTGTCTAAGGAAGTAATTTTGTGTTCTTTTTGCACCCCAAGAAAATGCAGTGGAGAAGAATTTAGAAAATTAACAAGCATCTGGCCATTATGAAGGAACAGACCTCCTCCTACCTATATTTAGCATAATTGCAGTTAAGAGGTATAGTAGCCCTAGGGGGGTAGAGCTATGACTGCGAGGTATTTCTCTTACTAGTTTTCTATAAGGTCCCTGTTACTATGCACAGATTCCCCCCACCAAAAAAAAAGTTGTATTTTCTTATTGTTTACTCAGAAGCAAGTGAACAGCTGGAGCCAAAAGGAACTTTTGTTCATTCACTGACCATCAGTTCCACTGTAGAAGAGCCTTCCTTTCCCGTGGTACATGCAGTTTCCTAGGAAAAATGAGATTTATGTCAAAGCATAATGAACAGTGTGTAGTCAGTGCTGTAGAAGTCCTCTAAAACATAAACAGAAATGAAAAATACCACAATGACTGACCGCGTGTGTAGAAAATGTTTTCATATCCCTTAGCTCTAGCTGTGGATTGGAAGGGTAAACCCCATTAACTCTAATTGGAAATCCTCTGGCACAGAAGGCAGTTAATCCACCGGATAGGCGCACACTCTGAGTTAGAATCGATGCGTCCTCAGTCTTATCCCTAGTTCTTCCAAATCATCTGCCCATTCCTACATTTCAAACGATGCTTGGTCTCTTGAACCACTAACTTCTCCCTTTATTCAACAAAAGTAATCTAAGCCCACTGTGGGCCTAACCGTGCTCGTTGGTTATCCAACAAATCTGAAGTAATGTTTGGTTTATTCTTTTACTCAGGTATTTTATTGTAAACTATTGGAAGAAGCAAACCGAGGCTCATTTCCAGCAGAGATGGTGAATAAAATCTTTTCTAACATTTCATCAATACATGCCTTCCATAGTAAATTCCTATTGCCAGAGCTGGAGAAACGAATGCAAGAATGGTAAGAGGAGAAGCTAGAAGTGGTGCATCTAGGGCAGTCATCCAGGCACTGTTTTTAGCCTTTAAGTTGAAGTAGAAATACTACTGCACACTGCTAGATCTAGACACTGTGCCAGATTTGTATGTTAAAGACGTGATAGCAGCTGTGGTGCGTTTTCAGCTTTAGCTGAAAAGGATTTCATCTCTGCTCTCCAGACTATCTTTAGACTAACGAGGCCAGGGCATAAAGGAAACCTGGAGCCTTGAGAATGCCAAGCATCTCTCTGTACTAAACTCCCCTTCAAAAGGTGCTTTATTCTCTTCCAGTCTCACAGCAAAGTGGATCTGATAAAGCAGAGGGTGGCCGTAAAAAGTACTTACTTCATCTTGACTCCTGGATTAGAATCCTTTCCTTCTGTGAGAAACACTCATTGCTTGTTCCTATGTTTGGTACAGGGACACCACTCCCAGGATTGGAGACATCCTGCAGAAACTGGCTCCGTTCCTCAAGATGTACGGAGAGTATGTGAAGGGATTCGATAATGCAATGGAATTGGTTAAAAACATGACAGAACGAGTTCCCCAGTTCAAATCGGTGATTGAAGACATTCAGGTAAGAGGACAGTGTTGCTCGGGACTGTGAATTCATTTTTCCACACTGATCATGCGGGCTTCTAGATGCACAACTTGCGAGGTAGAGATCTAGCTGAGCTACCTGGCCCAAGCCCTGCTGCTCATGCCAAGGTCACCT